GATAAGTAAAATGCTCAGGCAAATTAATGAGAGCTTAGTTTTGGTCCATGCAGAAGGCCTTAATAAAAAAGAATCCAAGAAAGGATAGGCTGGTTTTAGATAGGGCTTCATGACTGAATCAAGCAAAGGCAGACGTGATCATGCACAAGACAAGATTAGTAGGCAGTTTGGTTCATATGCTGGGCTTGAGAAATACCAAAGAGGGAATAGGGGATAGGATCAGACACAGAGCTAATGTATCAACCTCAGTGGGTCTTGTTGCTCAATATTTTGCAGACCTAGCCCTGGGGCTATAGTTCCTGCATTAAGGGACTGGACTAGGTTTGGGAGAATCCCAATCCATGGAGCCTATAGCTGAAGCCCCATCCCCCTCCCTTGCCCTCAATGATCCTTGCAGTACATACTAGAGGGCAGTGCCACCTCTTGTAGGAGAAGTGAAGTCCTCTGTTTTGAGTGGCTATCTTTCTTGGAAACTTCCCTTAGGCCTTGCCTCTCTAGAATTCTTTTTTTTGGGGGAGGGGGGCTCTAGAATTGTTAAAAGCTCAGCTTTTGACTAAGACCTAGCCACAAATGTAGGATAATATTTCATGTCTCCTCCTCTGCCATGTCTAGAAAAAGGAATTAGAAACTCTGATCAAGGAAGCTGAAAGGCAGCTTCAGACTTTTCTGCATGCTCTTGAACAGCTTTAGCATAGTAAATAGACAACCTGAGGCTGAGAGAGGTTAAGCTTCTGTGAACAGTCCGAGGGTGTTTTGACTGAAAGTGGAGGGGAAACTGCCGGGAAGAGCTTTTGACTTTAAGCTTAGATTCAGGGTAAGTTGATAATAGAGAAATTAAATATGAGTGAGAAAGGAATCAAATTATTCACTAGGCATTTTTTTTTAAAGTCTTGTTCTAAAGAATTAACTGCTTTACTGGCTGATATGTTTGGGTTCGGCTCTTTTAATAAAGAGATTTATTTTTATAATAAAAGGGAGGAAAAGCTTACTTAACTATTTTAAACATGTCTGTGACTTAAGTCTTATTGTTTTGGTCCATGTGACTGTGGCAAGCCATTGCCAATAACCCCTTGAAAGTAGAATCTGGGGGCGCCTGGGTGGCTCAGTGGTTAAAGCCTCTGCCTTCGGCTCAGGTCATGATCTCAGGGTCCTGGGATCGAGTCCCGCATCGGGCTCTCTGCTCAGCAGGGAGCCTGCCTCCTCCTCCTCTCTCTCTCTGCCTGCCTCTCTGCCTACTTGTGATCTGTCAAATAAATTTAAAAAAAAAAGTAGAATCTGGAAAACTAAAAGCACAAAGTAAAAACAAATGTTCAAAGGGATCTATTTTAGGCCAGGGTAGGAACTTGAAAGGCAAAGTGGGCAGGAGAAGGGAGAAAAAGAACAAAATTTAAAGGGAATTGCCCAATTCACTCCACTACTTCTGTATCTTTTATCCTGACAATATCTCTTACCTCTCTTCCGTGAAGTTCAGAATATAATCCTGAGGCCCAGTGAGCTACTCGCCTATCTAGCAAGGACAATTGAATTATGTTGCTTAGATTCTCCTTACTTAGATAGGAAAAGAGACCATGACAGTTGTGGAAAGATTTGAATAGTAAGCAATAAGAAAACAAAGGAACTTCTTCTTAGCCTTCAATTATCCAAACAACACAATTAACCAGACTCTTCTCCTCCCCCCTATTCCCTATGCATTCCAGTCAACTAAGGTCATAGTGGACTGGGATTCAGATGTATGTTTGCTGGAACGTTTGGTTTTTTTTCCTGGCACTAATCTCATAGTATCTGAGTTATAAATTATACTCATTAAATACTTTCTAGAGATTCAAACGAAATGAAAAAGAAACAAAGTGCCTCCTACTTTTTCCTGTGAAAATAGAGACCTTCTTATCTTAGTCCAAGTTGGGCCTGCTATTTGGGAATGACTAAACTTGGAGGTGGTTCTCTACCCTTTCTTAGGATTCACATCCATTGCATTTTACATTCAAATGGCCTTTTTGGTGATGGCTATGTAATGAACAAAGCTTATTAAAGTTACTTCCCAGGGGCTCCCTTACACAAGAATTAGGCTTGAATAACCCTGTAGACTGGTCATCCTCAGAGGTATAGTCATTCACTAACTTCTTGCCCAGGCAGAACAATTTGTTGAACTGGAGCGTGGTTTTCCATTGCCTCACCAAAAGATTCCAATCTCACAGCCCTTCACTCGTGGGTGGGAGAAGGAGAACACAGTAAGTATACCTTCTCCATCCTAGCCTTTCACAGGATTTCAGTATGAATGATTCCAAGCCACACAACACTGCTCTACACGAAGAGCTTGCAAATTGCTAAACCTTCCTGGATCACTGAACAAATAAACATTATATTTGTCAGGTTTTCATAGCTAAATGTTGCTATTTATAAGGGTTTTTTTTTTACAAATTTAACAAAAAAGGGGGCATGTTAATATATAAGTAATCCTCAACTTACTAATGAGATGTGTCTTAAACATTTATAAGTCAATGATTTGGAACTTGGAATGCTCTGTTCCATAGAAACTGTGTTTTATATATATATATATATATATATATATATATATATATATATATATATGTAGTGGTCAGGTTTCTAGGCCAGTCCTCAAAGGCTGATTTAACCCACATGGAGCAGTTATATTAGAGCTCTGGCAGGGGTCCTAGGTCCTGAGAGCAGAAGGAAAAGCATGCTTTCTTCCCATTCTTTACGTCCAAAGAAAACCCAGAGCAAAGGTTTAAAAGTGGGGGATTCTAAACTGACTTTTCCACTCCCATACTTGTTTTCACCCTTCTCCCATCTCCCAGGGATCTGTTACTCTTGTGTTGTCCAAAGACTTCCACTATGACCTTCCATCTGTCATAAGTGCCAAACTTCCTCATTTCTCCTGGTCCCAACCAACATGAAACCTCCAAGTGCTCCTGAACACCTAGCTCAATTCACCTTCACTCTCATATAAGGGATTCATCACCCCTTACCCTCCAAAAGGTACATCTATGATTGAAAGGCTCATCAACCCCAAATAGCCCAGCTGGTGAAATTCTAGGGAAAGTGACTAGATGAAGTGGTAACTTTTAGGAAGGTTTGGACAGTGGTAGGTATTTGGGGACATGAAGAAGAAGCTGCTTGGGAGATAGCAGGGCTCTGCCTGAGAGGCAGCCACAGCACTCAGTTCACCAGAACTGTGCCCCTTTCACATTATCTTTCTTTCCTCCCTGTCCAACCCCAGAGGGCTCTCTGAATGTTTCAGATTTTCCCCTAACAACTTCCATGATGACAACAACAGGTGAGAGGCATTCATTGGTATCGTGGGTCTTCTGTACAATGGTCCATCTCACTAGCAGTCAGCCTGCAAATTCCAATAGAGTGGGAAACATTGTGGAATAGGTGGTGTTACTAGATGACATCAACATAGGACATTTAATGAAAGAAGTGAAATGTCTGAGAGTTCTTGGATTTGGGTCAAGCCTTCTGATATTTGTCAAGGGTGCTCTTCTTGAGGATATTTGTTATTTGCACAGTCTGCCAAGGCCACTGTGGTCAATTAACATTTGATTAAAGCATAAGTGCTAACGAGGCCAAGATCAGAGGTCAAATCCATTTTGGGGCCAATTGGCTTCAACCTGTCCCAAATACTCACAGCCCACAGAAGCATGCCCTCTGTCAAGGGGGTGCAGATGAGTGAGTATAAAAGGCCTAAGCCACTTCCATCTGTAGGGCTGGGAAAGCATTACAATACACACAGTCAATGATGGTGAGTCAGCTGCAGTGTCCTCTACAAGCTCCAACACATTCTTAGGAATGGATAGGTTCTCACACAGTGCCTGCAATGTCTATGCCACCCCACTAAAGGGAAAACCCTTCAAGAGCTTCCAAGACCTTTATTGTTGTGAAAGAAAGATAAAGAAAGAGACTGACTGTGTGTCTATGTGTGTCTGTGTATTTCCTTCCCCTGGGAAAGAGCATTCCTGGAAATTAGGTGAATGTGCATCTCAGCTGCTTAATCTGCTTGTATTGACCAATAGGAAGAAACAGAGTTAAGCCCCAGGCGGCAGAATGGCAGAGGGTGGTACAGGGGGCTGCAGGGAAGCCACATACTCAGTACTGAAGACTTTCAGAAGCATAAATATTATGACTTACAGAGGGTACCTGTGATAGCTGCAGAAATGAAGATACACTGGGTTTCCTTAGGGGAAAAAAACAGTCATAGAGAGCTGACAAAGTCAACAGAAGCTAATGGGAAAACAAGAAGTATGTTTTATGCATTTGATAGTTGCCGCTAGAACTGTGATTATTCTGAAACATGCTAAAAAAACAAGGGAGCAAAAGTGTGTGAAGAAGTCATAATGTTTACTTCATAATCTTGTGATTTCTGAGGATATGTGGAGGGAACAATGGGTCTTAGGGTCAAAGTCTCCATAAAAGAAAAAATTAGAAAGCAAGGTAGAGATGAGATACTGACAGGAGCCCCAGAAAGCAATGGATTCCTCAGAGATAAATACATGCCAACCTCAGAAGGGATCAAACAGTGCCTCCAGAGGAAATGACATAACATCCCTCCAAGATGGTCTTGTCAATGGATCCTGGGAAAAAGAGGTCATCACAACATTGCTGTATTGTTCAGATAGATGTGAATCTCCAAAGATGTGAGGTGGCTCATCATGTGGTCCTGGTATTTGACAATGAAACAGAAAGGTGCACCTGTTTGATAACTGGATGACAAGGCCAGCCTTGTTAACATTCAAATGTGTTATCAGTGCAGGAGGCAACGGTCTTTCAGGCCAGGGCAGCTGACCTCCCTCAAATGTAGCTTGGTCTACAACAGGCCTCCCCACAGTGTTTTTGCTCAACTCAGTGGAGATTGGAAATTTACCAACTTCATCACACTCTGCCAACAGAGTGTAGGCTGAGACTGGCACCCAAGCCAAAGGGAGCCCCAGCTCTGAAAATTTGGCAAACTCCAGTGTTCTGTTTTCCTGCTGGCCATTACCTTATGGCTTGTTTCTCACCAGTTGCCTTTCTGCTTTTCTTCTTTGGAAGGCTGAAATCTCTATTGGTTGTAAGCCATGGCCCACTTGCCTGAGAGATACAAAAATAGTGAAGACAGTGGAACATAGTGGGGCATAGGAAGACTCTAATTAAGTGTGTACTTACCCATCTTTGCCCACTGGTGGGGGCACAAGAAGGAGCTTTTTAAAGCCTTTTTTTCCAACCAGCCAGAAGGTCTCTTCTGTGCCTTTGCCCTTATTATAGAAAATACAAAAAATCTTAAATGTGCTATAACCAGCTTTCCCAAAGATGTGCTTCTGATCAACAGTGTATAAGCATTCAGTTTGGCTCAGAAATTGCCTCTGCTTTCCCCTTGTCACCACTCCCTGGAGTCTTCCTTCCTACACAGCTTCCTTGCTATATATACCTGACAAGCTCCATAAGCTGACACAGTAGACAGACAAAATCTGAACACCATTTGGGGGAACTCGGGTGCCTCAGTCAGTTAAGCATCCAACTCTTGATTTCAGCTTAGGTCATAATCACAGGGTCATGAAATGGAGCCCTGCCTTGGGCTCCATGCTGAACATGGAGCCTGCTTAAGAGTCTCTCTCTACTCTTCTCACACCACCCCTCCCCCTTCTCTAAAAAAAAAAAAAAGAAACAAAGAAAGAGAGAGAAAAGTGAACACCATTTGAAGCTGCCATCCAAATGTTTTGTCTACACACTGCCACACAGCTCCATTGCTGACCACGTGTGGTTGTTTAGCTTCAGAGTAACCAAACATCTGGATGATGAATTCAAGAATTTGTTTGTCATTTTTGCTTTGATCTTTTGACCATAGGCATCCCATTGTCTTTCCTGTCTAGAGTACATATATTCAGAGTCTACCTCCCCCAATACTTGCCATCCAAAGGCTCTCACAGAAACCAAAAATTGGAATAGAAATGGAAAGCAGGCTATACAACTTTAAAGGCCAGGGCATCTTGGCTGCTTAGAGAGGTCTGCATTTCTGCAGTGTTCTTTTCTTCCTGCCAAGGGATTCTCACAGGTAGAGAGAGACAACATGGAGGCCTCCATCTACAGCCTGGTTCCTTGGTTGTCAAGAATTATGGTCTGAGAAGAAAAAGGGAGTGTAAACTCTAGCTAGTCACCCCAGGGCCTAAGTGACTACCTCAGAGGAGCCAAGTTTTCTGCCTCAGCTTTGCCCTCCCCTTTTTCTAATAAACCCTCCTCTCAATGTGTTTCACTCTCCTTTCAATTTTCTTTCATCTGTTCTTTCATTTCCTCCAATCCATAGGAAAAAAGTGTGTTTACTAAAACTGAGAAAAGTAATGGGATGTGTTTCCAACTCATTAATCTGAAATATGGTCTCACTCTTGGCTGATCTCATTTGGAACAGTTCTAAATTGTTTAACTTAGAAATTCCAATTAGGTTTCCCCCCCTTTAAATATCAAATCCATTGTTTTTTATTTTACATCACATACATTCATCCCTTAGCAATAATGACCACAACCATAATAATAATAATCACATTTAGTGGAAGAATCTCAAAGCATTTTGCAGGTATTTGGTTCAAGGCTCTGAACAAGCCCATCATAGGCAAGTACGAAGAGAATACCACAACAACTCAATCTTCACTAGCTGACAACCAACTCACCCTAAAACTCAAATAATTGGGCTGTTTGGAGCCACTCTGTTTTCAGAAGAAGTGAACAACTTTAAAATATACTCATATCACTCATTCTTACATTTATTCTACCCTCACTGTACCAGGTGTGGAAATACAGAAATGGCTCTGTCCTTCAGGAGCTCACAGTGCAGTTAAATAAAAACACTGTCGGGTCACGTTTGGGGCTTTAAATACAAACCCAAATTTTCTGCCTCCTAAACTCTGTTCCTCACAGTACTTAGTGCAGTATCTCATATAGAATAGTTGCTCAGTAGATAAACTGTTTCATTCACTAGAAAACTCAACACTTGAGCAATTGGAATACTCAAGGTGTCATTGGACCTCACTTTGCTAAAGCATACTCTTAAGGCTCAAACTTGAGGATCTCAACCCTCAGGCGTATTTGGGTGTTTATCTTGAGATCAAGAGGCTATTGAGACAGTGTGCCAATACCCAAGGGAGCTTTGTGGATGCCAGGATTGTCCAGATATCTGGGTGAGTCCTGGGACACACACTGGGATGCCAAAACTAATGGTTGCAAAAGAGAATGGGAGTGTTATGGACTCAGGCAAGCTTCCAAATCAAACAGTATGCAGGGGAGCCCCAGGGGTTCTCTGAGGTTTTGGAGCCTATCCAGAATTCTTAAAATCCTAGATCTCTGTTTATCCACCCTATTTCCAAAATTCTGTTGAAGAGAGAGAAAGTGGGGGAGAACAAGTATGCAACAACTAAAACCTAAAGCAAACCCTTTGACTTGGTATCAATCCCTGAGCAGTCCCAGAGACCCCCCCCCCCGCCAAATAATAGTATCTTACTTTGGTCTGACACTTTTAAGACACTTTGGCATCTCCTGTCTTTTTTAATTCTCACAAAAACTCTGGAAAGTGAGTTTATTATTAACCTCATTCTGCAAATAGGGATACTAAGTTTCATGGAAATTAAATGACTTGTCAATAAGCAAGCATAGCTGAAACCTGAACCCAATTTTACTAAACTCCAGGTTTTATTTATTTTCTTTTTACTACAACTTAGCTATTTTTTATTGAGGTATAACTGACATACAACACTAGTTTCAGCTGTGAAATATAATGATTTGATATGTATATATATTAAAAATGCTCATCACAGTAAGTCTAGTAAACATCTTAGACTCCAAATTTTAAATGCTCTTCCTTCTATACCACATAGCTTTTCCAACACACTGGAGTCAAGGGAAGGTCTAGAGGCCAAAAAGCAATGGCTTGGAATTTTAAATCTTGTGATTAATGAGCTTCCTGATAATCACAGGTCAGAAGAGGACTCTATGTGAAGAAATGAAAGCACAGAGAGGATAAAGTTACTTGTCCAGTGTTACACATTAAGTCACTGATGGGACAAGTATTACAGACCAGACCTCTGACCTTCATGACTATGCCAATAAAACCTCATTACTTCTTTTTCTTTTTTCTTTTTTTTTTTTTTTCAGAGAGAGGGGGTGGTGGGGAGGGGCAGAGTGAGAGGGAGAGAAAGAATCTTAAACAGGCTCCACACCCAGAACAGAGCCCAATAGGGCTTGATCTCGAAACCTTGAGATCATGACCTGAGCCAAAATCAAGAGTCAGATACTTAACTGACTGAGCCACCCAGGTGCCCCCAACCTCATTACTTCTTAGCTCAAATGCTGGTGGGGGGGGGGCACGTGTGTGTGCACACACTTACACATGTCCAAACTTCTGTATGTGAGTGCAAGGGGTTGAGGATGGGGTGGAAGAGGTTGGGGGAAAAAAGAGAAATCACAAATAAAACAGGATTACTGCTTAAGGGCCTGAGAATCAAATACTATTTATCCCCAGAATGTTACAAGTGTCCACCCTGCAAGGACATAAACTGGCTGAGAACAACCATTTGGGAAAGTCTTCTCAGAATGTAAATTTACCTAAAGAGGTCTTAGTAAATATAACTGATAAGCCTAGATATATACAAAGTCTCAGCAAGAAGCTTCAAACTTGTCAGAAAAACAGTAACTGAAATAGGACTCATGTAAGAGAAGAGGTAGTAAGATGACTTATCACCAGGCCATTAGGAGAGAAATATTGAAAAAAGCAGACTTGGCCAGTTAAGCACTGATGATTTGTCGCCAGTACAATACAAGAGGGGGTTGGAGTGGGCCGTAGGCCAACTCCCCATAGAGGCTGAGCTTGTCACCTCTAAATGAGTCCTCCCCCAATCTGCCTCAGCTTCCTCAGTTTGATGTCTTTCTTTGTTAACCCCACCCGCCTAATTACTCAACTGCACTATGTTCTCTTCTCTCACCCAACCCAATCCACACTTTTGATTCCACTAGGGGAAACAACTTCAAGTGTCATCATTCCAGTGAAGGAGATGGAGTGGGAAAAGAGTGTTGTTACTGGATCCAATCCTTGAACCCAAGAGAAGAGGTTCTGATGTAGGAATTTCAAATATCAGCCAGCTGGAAGGAGAGGATGTTTTCAACCATCCTCTTTGCTATCACACCTGGCAGGCTATCAAATGTGGTCCTTCTGACCCATGTACTAAAGCCATTCTTGCTTTCCAGCAACACAGAGTGAATTAGGAATGGAAATGTTGGATCAGAATTTCTGAAGTGTGCTGGTAATATGGTCATATTGGGGATATATTGCATGCCCCAAGTGACAAGGAATCTCCTGTCCCCCAGTCCCTACTATGTAATGTCCAATACCTATCTCTGGTATTGCAGACAGCAGGGGTACAGAGACAGAAAGGATCTCCCATTTTCTCCCTTCCTTCTTTGGGACTTCCTATTCTCTTCGTCACATTGCCCCTCCCTCTCCCCTGGGGCCCCCTCTCTTCTCTCTCAGTATCGCCCTTTTATCAGGGAGCCTCTAACACCTCAACAAGCAAGGCATGACATGGCCTTAGGGAAAAACTTTCCTTGCCTTTTCCTCCACCTTGCTGTATCAGGTTCCCAAATTCCTTGGGGTAAGGGAAACTGTGAAGTTTCAAAGGGCCCTTCTGAAGTAGTCCTGCTTTTATACTCAAAACGCCCAAAGATATGATTCTTCCTAACTAGAATTTGGGGGCAATAAAAGCCATGGGGGGGTGGGGGCATATTTTTCCTTTTCAGTTTCAAAAGTGTCACCTCTTCAGCTTTTAAGTGACGGAATCTGTGCCCAGCAATCCAGAGAGGAAAGTGCCTTGGGAAATAAAGCCACCTTTGTCGTCCTCTGATAAGAAATGTCAATATATAGAGGAATCACAAAAGCCTTGAGTAATGTGATTCACTGTTCAAGTAATGTTACTACTTCTATCATCTCACTGAGTTCTCTGCAGAGGTGAGAAAAGAACCTCTGCCCCCTCATAAATGACTCATCCCATCTTCTAGAAGATATTCAGATCTATTGGAAGAGACAAACCAGAACTAGCCAGAAAAGGAACTGATCAATCAGAATCAAGCCTTCCAAACTTTAACTTCTTGCCAATGACAGAAACATATTGTGCATCATTCAGCACCTGGGTTTTGCTTTGCCGAAGTATAATCACTGTGAAAATAATTTTCATGCACAATGGTTCCATTGAAAGGATACTGAGTGGGAAGTCAGACTTCCCTGGGTTTTGGCTTATTCTGTCATCAGTTGACTGTGTGACCCTGATCAAGTTACTTCACCTCTCTGGGCTTTGGTTCTTTGTCTAAAAATGAAAAAGTTAGATGATCGACTCTCTAGAGCCTCTTACAAATGGGGAAGCCAGGGGCTCTGGAGCTACCTAGAGGAAGATGAAAAGAATCCAGTGGAGATGGCAAAAAAGAAAGAAAGAAAAGGTAAAATTACTCTAATCCTGAATCCCAGATCAATGGATCGTCCTAACAGAGAGAAAAGATGCTTCAAAATGTTTGTCTTTCACGGGAACTGACTTTATTCCTCCTGGTCCTTCAGGGAAGACATAAAGCCTCTCCGTAAATGGGAGGGGGTCAATTGCGTGCATGAAAAATTAGAAAGGTGGCCACTGAGCAGGCAAATAGAAAACCCAAACTCACTAATACTTTAGTTTATTGAACATGTCTGAATTTCAGCCAAAGAGTAAACAAAGTTTACTTTGTTAGAAGATAAAAATAATAGTGCAGTTCACTGAAAACCCAAATTCTGGGTTATCCTTTAAGAGAGAAAGATGCAGCTCATAGTCTGAAAAACCCAGGAGTCGTAACACTCCTCCTCACTGTGGCCATATTTTAAAGAGAAGAAAACTGAAGCAAAAAGGAATAATCTCTTGGGAACCGCAAATATGGCTGGAAATTCTGCCCAAATTATAGCTCTAAGTCTCAGACATCCAAGTAAACTCTTTCAGCAGACCATGACCTCTCTAGAAGCAGGTGTGTTCAAGTGGTTTGATTTAAACAAACAAAAAAAAAGGATATTATACCCTGAGCGCTGTCCTTCCTCGAAGCTCTACTTCGTAGCCCTCACTCAGAGCTCGAAGAATTGTCACGGTGCTGTGACTGACATGAATGAAGTAAGCTGTAAAAGAAAGACAGATGTGACTGGATCCTTCCAGGTAAAATCAATGAGAAAATATTAATGTAATAGATGACCCCACTCCTAAATGAACGAGACCCTAAGAAAAGTCCCTGAGAGAGAACTTCAGTTAGGATTTCAAAGGAGGAGGAACGGGGAATGGTGGCCTTCCTCACCAGGCCCAAATAAGGTGTTAGCTATAGCACCTATCAGCCTCCTAGACGCTATCCCAGATGAAAGGCCATGCAACGGAAAGGTGTTAATTTAACTTTAAGGTTGTGATTGAGAAACCAGCTACCACTACTGTGCTCTCAGCTGAAATGTGACCTCCTCAGAGGCAAGTTAGGTGTCAGCAGCTTCTTCTCTGCTAAAGCAGAGCTTCCAAGGTCTACATACCCTACTTAAGAGACAGCAGGGTATCTTTTTACATACGCATCCATACAACCATGTTACAGTATCGCTGCACTTAAAATAGAACATCAATTTTTTAAAAAGTCCCAAGACCTTGGTCAACATTCTGTGACAATTGTACATTTATAGATTTCCTGTGGGTAGACGCATCTATATGTATATACACACAAATGTATTATTTTCCAACTAATGAGCCCAACCCGGGATAAGAGTGTTACATGGAAAACTATGACTAAAAATTTTATGTAGCAACTAAGTGTAACTCTTTGGTGAAGAGCAGTCAGTTATTATTAACTCAGGTAGAATCCTTGACTTTCTCAAAAACTGTTATCTTATGAAGTAAGACCTGTTCAAGTTGAGTCTTAAATAAGAGTCCAAGACTTGTTCCCACACACACTTGAGAAAATAATTCTTTTAGAAGCTGAAAATAATCAAAGTAGGAAGGCACGGCTGGAAAGAACTGCAAGAAATTTCTGCTATGTGTTCTCATAATAACTTTCACGTAATAACATAATAACATTTTTCCCAGCTCAGTACTGTTGTTTTTGTCTTCCTTTGCTAAGTCATGGCCACCCAAAACCTCTGTTCAAAAAGGGTCCCTAAAAGCTGCATGCTCGTCTAGGTGCCCTTTGTCAGCCCTGTGTATACGACTCCACTAGCATCTGGTTGTCAGTCATAATCCTACTCGTGTGGAGCACACGGGTCAAAAGAGAGAGCTCGTTCCAATGAACACCCAGGTGTTTTGCAAGGAGAATCAGTCCAGCACTAGGTCACTAGTTACTTCCTTTCCAGAATTAGTGAATTCAACTGGGCATAATGGTGATACTGATGAAATTAATTTTTAGTAGACCTCTGACATGTCCTGGTCTCATATCCAACATGAGGCTATCTCTTTACAAATCTTCAAGGTGTGGAGCTTAATGCCCTATTTTGGTCACAGTCATTAGTTTCCAGAAAAGCATACTAACCAGCCCCTTTAGTCCTGAGACCACATGTGTTTGCTTCTTTGTATCCTTCACAATGCCTTCCTTGCATAGTCAGTGCTTAATAAACACCTGCTGTGCATGATTCATTCCATTTTCTTCTTCGTAGCTGCTCACTAGACAAGGTGATACCTAAAACTGAAAATTCTATTTCTGCTTTCAGCTCTATATTTCCAATGTGAAATGAGTGGAGTTTCCCTGGTGCAGACCAGAATATGACTTCAATCTTCTACAAGCTTACATCAGTCCAGAGTGCTGTGCCAAATCTGCATTGCGGTTCCATGATCAATTTCACTTCATCCTGGGTTGCATTTCAAGAGCAAAGTCATACACATGCAGCAGTGTCTGGATGACTACTTCCATAGCTTCTGCCATGTCTATGGAGTTCGAAGACTTTCCCAGATGTCAGAAAATTTATTCTGACAACAGCTTCTAAGTTCTGTGCTGCCTCCTTAATCATGGCCGCACAGGCTAGATTGACTAAGACTGGACCCATTGTGCAAGCCTGTTTTTGCACATGAGTGATGAAGAGTGGGGTCAGACAGGGCACCACCCACTGTGATATAGGCCACCATAATATCAGAGACTAGTCTGAGTATACTACTGGAGTTTGGGAAGAGCTTGTCTTGCCTAGTAGCTGCTAAAGCCAGGGCTGCTAAGAGCTTAAGTGTTTTTTAAGTAGAAAACCCATGAAAACTGTATATAGAACCTACTATTGTTTTCTATGCTTTCCTATATTAGCATAAACAAATTGCTTTGCTCAATCCTGATAAAGGGCAAGGCCTGTTGTGTTTCTGACATTGCCTTGTAGTGGCAGTAAATAACCAAAAAAGAGGTGCCAGCAACAGACAGATGGCATGAAGATTTGTACAGTTTTATTCTCAAAGAAGGAAGGAAAGAAATGGTATCTTTGACACCATGCTTGTTTTGATAAAAACTAAAGATTTTATATACAGGCTAATTGGAGTTAATTATTTCAGATTTCCAAGCTCCTTCGGTTGAAGGATTATTGCCAGCTAAATTCAAGAGGGCTATTTGATAAAACCAGAACTCCTAGGATCCTAACTAGTGCAGAAAGAGGACTAGAGCAGTAAACAGCAGTCAGGTGGGAAGCAGCTGATTCTGGTTGTGTCTCCACAAATTAGTTGAAAAACTAAATATGCCAGTCCCTTACTTTTTCTTTTTTCAACAAGACTTCCCCGAACCCACCATGCTGGCCAATTTTTTTTTTCTATTCCCAAAGGACATTTTAAGTTGTTTTGATCAAATTGACTGTTTCAGTGTCGCTTAGCTACAGCTTCATAGCTAGAACAAGAAGGATACATATTTAATCCAATATCACCCCCTACTGGCTTATCATTAGAGACCAAGAAATTTGTGTGTAAAATCTTAATCTTAAATTATCTTTCATTTCTTTAAAAAACATTAAAATATTAAGTGTCTTGTTCTCCTTCCCTCTCTAGAAAAATAATCACTTTTCCATCAGTAGGAGGTTACCATCCCATCCCATCACAGGTACTCACGTAACCCTGTTGATTCCCTCCGAGAAGCTGTGTTCAAAGTGTCTCTGAACAGGCAGTATCTGGGCATGGTGAGCCCCACCACTCCAGCAACAACTGGCCCTGTAAAATAGCAGTCAGTTGGGATTACAGTCAACAGGTATATATCCAATGCTAACAGAGGAACACTGCCAAGGGGAAGGAATGTAGCTGCATAAAAGAACAAAGTTGCCACCAAATAGCTCTAGGAATCTGAAGGAAGCCCTACAGTGAGTAATAAACTCTTTGCCCTACAAGAAAACAAGTTGATAATGATGCAGGCATGACTACCCTTCTGATTTACACTCTTGTTCCAAGTCACAGTTATACCCAAGATACTTATATCTGTCAACAGGGACAAATGAGCATAAAAGCCAAACCAGAAAGGCCTAGGAAGGGACTCAGGATCCAAGCATGTTTGTTACAATAAAAAAGAAGTGACCCTTTCTTATGTCTTAGGGTCAGAAGAAGGGATCTCATGGGGTTATTTATTTCCCAGGAGAATTATTACTAAGACAATTGGAAAATCTGAAAAGAAGTAGAATTGGCTTTCAATCATTTGTGTTAGGGGCACGGACAAGCAGCATATATAGATAACCCAAGAATATATTATATTTGCCTTTAGAATGTGTTTTGTTCTTACATTTCAATATGGCTGTTAGGTGTTCAGACAGCGAACATTACTTGCAAAAAACTTCAGCAACCATAATGAAAACCTAATTCAGAAGTATTTTAAAAATTTGGGGTGCCTGGGTGGCTCAGTGGGTTAAAGCCTCTGCCTTAGGCTCAGGTCATGATCCCAGAATCCTGGGATCGAGCCCCGCATCGAGCCCCGCATCGAGCCCCACATCCGGCTCTCTGCTCAGAAGGATGCCTGCTTCCTCCTCTCTCTGCTTGCCTCTCTGCCTACTTGTGATCTCTGTCTCTCAAATAAATTTTTAAAAATCTTAAAAAATTTAAAAAAGAAGTATTTTAAAAATTCTCCACCCTTATTTTTCTGGCCTCTGCTCCCTTTCTATTTGAAATTGTTCATCATTATCTTTTTGCTATTTCCTGGGTTAGAGAAAGTAATTAAGTGTTTTTGCTTCAAGAAGTTCTTCCTTTATAAGAATAAAAATAAATAAGAACTACAAAACTTATGTTTTTCATTTTAATTCATTTCTTCCCATTCATATGCATTCATTGGACACAGAGCTAGGCACCAACGGGAATAAAAAAAATGTAACATACTTGATCTCAGTTCTGTAGGAGTTTATAGTCTAATTAAAGAGAAAAGACTACTAAACAGGAAGCAAGTAAGCAACAACCCAAAACAATGTATGGTTGAAATAAGATAAATGGGGGGGGGGGCTGCTAAATAGGATCCAGTTCAGTCAAGAAAGGTCCAGTGGAGAAGATGGAATTTAATTTGAATCGTGATGGGTGGGTAAGATTTGAGTAGGAGAAAAGGGACAAGAATCAAATATTTGTGGTTTGAATTGACCATGAAATTTTGGGAAGCTCTCAGAGAAAGCAGTCTGCCTAGTTCAGGGGCTCAGGAAAAACTGGAGACAAGATTGGATATTGGGCTGTACCAGATGGAAGACCTTGAACCACTAGAGAATTTTGAACAGGGAATTACATGACAAAAATTATTTTTCCTTTTTTCTTCTTAGATCAGTGTATAGAATGCATTGAACGGGAAGAAAGTAAAATCAGGGAAACCTGTTAGGTAACTGTTGTTGTAATGCAAGCACAAGGTCGTGAGCACTGGGAAGGAGGAGATGATAGGGAGTGGGTGGGCAGAAAGGGGAGATGAAACAGAGACATCATGAAAGGAGAACCAACAGACTTATTGGCTCTCTGACAACCATGAGGAAATTGGCATGGGCTTATAATTCATGGAAAAAGATGACTTGAACTTTTAGATATGTTGAATTCAAAATAATGGTGAATCATCTAAGAAAAGATGTGCTGAAGAAGGTTGAAGATGTGGAACTGAAGCACAAAGGAGAGATGAAGTCTTTTCTTTAAAAGAAAAATGCTGAACATAAGCATTCAGGATGCAAACATGAGTAAGATATGGTTCCTGCCATCAAGAAGCTTATAGACTAGGGGTACCTGGCCGGCTCAGTTGGTAAAGCATGTGACTCTTGATCTCAGGGTCATGAGTTCAAGCCCCACATTTGACATGAAGCCTACTTAAAAATTTTTTTAACTTTTTAAAAAAGATTTTATTTATTTATTTTAGAGAGAGCGAGCACTCACACATGAGTAAACAAGGGGGGAGGGGCAGGAGGAGAGGGAGAGACAATCTCAAGTAGATTCTCTGCTGAGAATCTACTTGATTCTCAGTGCTGATGTGGGGCTCTATCCTGCGACCCTGAGATCATGACTTAAACAAAACCAAGAGTTGGATGCTCAACGAACTGAGCCATCCAGGCACCTTTCCCCAAAAAAAAATTTTAAGAAGCTTATGATCTAATGGAAGGAGAAACAAGTAAACACAGATTATGCTGATGACTATGAGAAGGATGGATAGAAAGAAGCAAGAGTGGAAGCAAGGAGATGTTATTGCAGTGATCCAGGCAAAAGATGCTGGTGGCCTAGACTTGAGTTATGAAAGTCAAGTATAGACAAGACAGATTCAAGAAATATTTAAAAGGTAAAATGCTCAAGACTTGGTAAATGTTTGAATGGTGTAAGGGTGAGGGAGGAATCAAGGATGATGACCCCCAAAACTAACTGGAGTAACTAGGTGAATAGTTGTACCACCAATTGAAATAGAGAATTAACACAGGAAGAAGAGGAAGCTTATGTGGGAAGAAAATAATTCTGTTTTGGGGATTGAGTCTGAGGTCCATGTAGAACATTCAGGTGGAAATTTCAGCAGCAAGTTTGATATAGAAGGCTGAAGCTTAAGGGAGAAAACATATACAGAAGTGGGGATGGAGAGAAGTTTGGGTGGCTCAGTTGGTTAAGTAACTGCCTTCAGCTCAGGTCTTGATCTCAGGGTCCTGGGATAGAGTCCCGCATCAGTCTTCCTGCTCATTGGGGAGCTTTCTTCTCCTTCTCCCTCTGCTGCTCCCCCTGCTTATGCTCTTTCACTGTTTCTGTCAAATAAATAAATAAAATCTTAAAAAAAAAAAAGAAATAGGGCTGGAAGTCATCAGCATACAAGTTGTACTTAAACCATAGATATGAATGAAAGAAAAGTATGTAAGGGGAGGAAAAAAAGTGGATGAAAGACAGAACCTTGGGCATCAATATTTAAGGGATAGACAGAGACAGAAGAGATGATCAGACAATGGTAGAAAATGAAAGCCAGGTTGGAGTGGGTTGAGAAACAAAAATCAAGATGTGAGGAGAGCAATTAGACCACAACTCAGAGCTTTACAAAAAATCGGGTAGCAGCTACAGTTAGAGAGCAGGAGTTTCCAAGACAGCCAGTGAATGAAAGGAGAAAAAGCATTCAGAGAGTGAAGAGCATATCATAAAAGCCAGTTGAGGGAAGTTTTAGGCATAAAGTTATCAGGGGCACTCTACCCTTTTTCTAGTCTTCCCCTGAGGCACATAGGAAATGTTGGCTCTAACAAGAAAGGTAGATTGAAAGGGATTGGTACCTAGAACAAGGACTTCTGCCCAATGGTGTAGTACAGGTGTTGGGAAGAGAGTAAAACTTGGGTAGGCATAAAGAAATTAGGCACCATTAGACACCTGGATAATCCAACTGCCAGTAATCAGGGGAGCACCACCCTCTCCGACCTTTTCTAATCTTCTCTTGAGGTGCATGGGAATGTCTTTTCTTCCTGTAGCTGGCTGTTGTTACCTGAATGCAGGCCTATTCGAATCTGGACTGGCACCTCTGGCATGTGTCTCATCTTAAAGGTCCCCATGGAGCTCAGGATATCTAGGGACATGTTTGCAATCTCAACTGCATGCCGATTGCCATTCCTCTTTGGGAGGCCTGAGGCCACCATGTAAGCATCTCCAATGGTCAATACTTGGGAATCAGGGGAAATAGAATGAGCAGAAAAATTGTGTGTGTGTGTGTGTGTGTGTGTGAGAGAGAGAGAGAGAGAGAGAGAGAGAGAGAAAGAGAAAGAGATGAGGAAGGCTTATTTCTTGTAAAGTGAGGAAGATGGTGAGAGACTGTCAGAGATTCAAGGTCTGGCTGCATATTAGAATCATTTAAGGAGCTTTATGAAAAAAAAATTGATGTCTAGGTCCCACACCCATAGATTCTGAAATAAGCAACTTTGCAGTTTCTTGACTGGCCCTAGAGAACTATCAGGCCCCAAGTAATTCCTGGGGGAAGGAAAAGAGGAGATTTGTAGGAATATCCATGGGTACCCATGGAAGAGTACCCTAGGAGAAGGTGCATATAATATTCCTCTAGCAAGTATTTCTCTAGAAGATTTCAGGTAAATGAGCTAGCAGCCTTAAGACAAGTATAGAAAAAGGGAAAGGAAGGAGGTAGAAGAGACTGTTCCTTCTGCTTTGCATTGTTAATATGATGAAGTTAGTTTTGTAGTCCCTTGAGTGTGAGAATTGAGTCTTTTTTCCACCAGCTACCCCCTCCTCTCCTAGTGCCACTTGTCAAAAGACAGAAGAACCCGCCCTCAGCTGCTTTAAGCTGGACACCTGTAAGGAAAGGCAAATCTGTATTCCTCATCTTCCCAAAAGAAGTGTGCTCACTCTTTTAGGTGACTAGTAAGTAGAAGCTTTTCAAGTAAATCCAAAAGATAAGTCTACTGGAAGGACTTCCATGAAATATGCCAGTCTGACTCTGCTAGGACAAGTTTGGATCCAATTAAAATCCATGTTCTTCTAGAGAACTGCACTCAAAAGTGCAATAGTTAAGACCACGAAACTCTGATGTCACACTGCCTTGGTCAGAATCCCAGATGTACCATTTACAAACTGTGTGGCCTTGCCAAGTCACTTAACTTCTCTGTGCTTTAGTATCCTTATTTGCAAAACAGGGATAATAAGAGTATCTGCCTTATGGAGTTTTCTAAGGACTAAATAACTTAACATATGCCAAAGCACTTAAAACCTGCCTGGTGGATAAGTGCAAGCTACCATAATCATCATTACCATCAAACTAATATGTCTTAACATAAGTCATGGGATGTTGGCTATGACTCAGCTCCAGAGAAAGTTCAGTAATCAGCAATAGGCCTCTCATCTTGACTTTCTATATAGCCAGTAACAATGATGCTTTGAATACACGAGACTTTGTACCTCACCATGCTTCCATCCAGGGCCTCCCTTTCCTCGTACAATTGGAGAAAGGGATCCCTGTCCTCAAATAAGTATGCCAGTCTGCACAGAGGAAGGGAACAGGTACAATCCAAATGTTATATGGGAGGGAGAGACTCACTTACTTGCTGGCCATTGTCAAAGAATAGTGGTTGACTCTTCCCCTAAATGAGTCAGTCACTCAGGAGTCCCCACACACATGGATGAGGAGAATAGAAGGGCGGGGAGCATGGGCAGTGCCTAGCCTTGGTGAAAGACTGTTGTGGGGGACTGTGGGGGGGCGGGCATGAGCCAGCAGGAGGACACAGAAAGGGCAGGGGAGGTATAGAAAAAGGGGCTGGTTGAGATGGGTGGTGGCAGGAGAACAGAAACTGAAAACAAATCACCAGCTTTGTAATTTTGCAGTAACCTTCTCACTTCCATTTCAGATTATCAAGTGCTGGGGAGGTGATTTCAATTTTACAGGTAAAGAAAATGAAAACACAAACGGGTTTGGTGACTCACTGCTGGTTCAATTTTATTTCCTTTGCCCTGTTGCTTTTAATAAACAGGACTGAAAAATTAGATTTCATTTTTGGATTTGGAGAGCCCCACTCTACCCTGGAAACAGCCCATGAACTCCTTACTGCAGCCATGAAATACCAAAATATCTCATGGCCTCATCCCTAAGACTTCAGACAATTGTCTGAAGAGTATCAGCTGCATTGATTAAACCAGTGGCTGTGTTACTGCCCATGTTTTTTTTTTTAAAGATTTTATTTATTTATTTGAAACAGAGAGAGAGAGATCACAAGTAGGCATAGAGGCAGGCATAGAGAGAGAGGAGAAAGCAGGCTCCCCGCTGAGCAGAGAGCCCGATGCGGGCCTCGATCCCAGGACCCTGAGATCATGACCTGAGCCAAAGGCAGAGGCTTAACCCACTGAGCCACCCAGGCGCCCCTGAATCATCTTTGATTTTAGTTTCAAATGAATTAGCTTTCGGTGATTTGTTTTCCTCTTCAGGCTGCTTGAGTTCAACAAGCTAAGACAGGTAGTCTGGTTCTATGGATTTTTCCTCCACTGTGGCTTCCATGTGTGCTTCTTGATAAGTTTGCAGCTCCGGCTGATTGACAGGTATGGTATCTATTTCTGAGCCCTATTTAGATGGCTTGGCCTAGCCCTGAGGCTCTCTACCTGACCTGAAAGGGCCCCGTCTAATCTGAGATAAACACACTGCCCTGTGTGTGATTTGAGAGTTGGAACATTTCAGACTACTGTGAAGGATCCAATGAATGGAGGTACTCATTCCCCAGCTCTACCTTGGTTTCTGGGACAGAGGAGCTGTCTAAAGTTTGGGATGCCTGGGGCATGTTTTTCCATCAATAAGACAAGTATCCATGTTTCAGGCAATGTAGAAATGGCCTTGCACAGCTATAAGATTTTTAGTCATTTTCTGCCTAGAGATAAGACAACATATAAAAATCAAAGGTAGGGAAGCATGGCAACCAAAGGAGTGAATGTAGTCATCTATTCTCTGCTCATCTTCAGCAACCTTGGATAGGAGGAGTGGAAATTGACAGCTAGAGGGGTGGGGGGGGATGTGGGAGCAGTAGATTGCAACCTCACACTTAATGACTTCCCTAGACCTCAGACCACAAGATAGGCTCATGGTTACCCTATAGCAATCCCTTTGACCTATGTGATGCCAGAGTTCCCTCCTGTATAAAAACGGTACTTAGGGGAACAAACCAAATTTTAACAGCATGTATTAGATCTACATGAGTTTTACCAAGATGAACTCTGTAGCAGTCACCAGCTATGGGCAAAGCACCAATGCTTCTTCTATCGCCCTTGTATCATATCTAGCATGATACTACCTACACTGTGGTTACTTAGCCACTGAAGTACAATAACCTTTTTGGCTCCAACCTCTTCCTAGTCTCAGTTCTAGAAAACAGCTCAAGAGAAATCTGCCTGGCAATCTCTTGCTCAGTTCATACTGTTATTTTATAAAGTGTGAGATTGTATGCATTCTGCCTGGCCTTCATTTCCAATAAGATACCAATGGAAGTGCTATACTATTTAAATTTTACGTCCTTAATCAGCGTTGGAGACAAACCGTGAGTGACTCTTGACTATAGGAAAGAAACTGAGGGTTGCTGGAGGGGAGGTAGGTTGGGGGGAGGGAGTAAATGGGTGTTGGGCATTAAGGAGGGCACGTGATGTGGTAAGCACTGGGTATTATATGCAACTGATGAATCACTGAACTCTACATTTGAAACTAAAATAAATAAATAAACACATAAATACATAAATAAACTTTACTTCCTACATAACAGCATTCAGTAAAATTCCACCTTTTAATTTTGGGATTGCGAGACTCATATAAAAATTTCTCTCTAGAATATACTTCTCTGCTCAGTTACTTACCTTGTAGACATCATGACTGCCTATGACAGCATCAAAGAGTGTGTACAGGTCATTGAGAAGATCTACCACCTCAATAGGCTCACTCATGGCTGAGATGGTGGTGAAGCCCACAACGTCACTGAAGTACAAGGTGATCAAGTCAAAGCCCTCAGGTTCAACCATGTAGCCCTTTTTGAGGGATTTGGCAACTGATCAAAAGCAGAGACAGCTATTCCTCAGAGGACACAGGCCTCCCGGCATGCCACACACACATCTGCTAAAACACAATTTCTCCAAAAATCACTGCCAAGTAAATGAGTAGGAAGAAGATGTCATCTGGATGAAAACATTAATTCTTTAATTTAGTCTATAAATATATTTTGAGTGCTTATGACGTGCCAGGTACTGTGCCAGATGCTGGAACACAGCACCGAACAGACAGCCTTGGTCTGTGTTTTTGTGGAGCTTTTTTTTTTCTTTAAAGATTTTATTTATTTACTTGACAGAGAGAGAGATCACAAGTAGGCAGAGAGTCAGGCAGAGAAAGAGGGGGAAGCAGGCTCCCTGCTGAGCAGAGCCTGATCCAGGGCTCAATCCAGGGCTTGATCCCAGGACCCCAGGATCATGACCTGAGCCGAAGGCAGAGGCTCAACCCACTGAGCCACCCAGGTGCCCCTTGTGGAGCTTTTCCTCAGCTGTCCCTTCACTCAGGGAATGATCCCAGGTGGTTGCTTAACATGAGTCCAATTTCTCCAATTATCTCCTAAACAATCATGTTACAATATGATCAGGTGTCTTGGAAATTTTGGAAACAGTATCAAAAGGTAAGGCTTTGAACAAGGAAGGAACACCTAGAAAAACAACTCTGCTACTCTCCTCTAGGACCTCAAAGAACTGACTCTTTTTAATTGGTCAGCTTCTAGGCAAAGTCATGAAGTTACACATAGAAAAACAGAAACACCAAAAACTTAAATGACCAGCATGCTCCACAGGCAGTGGGAAATTAGGAAGGTGTGCTCTACTCCCTTGGTTTCCAATTCATCTTTGATTTGAAGGTGTGGCTCAAACCTACTGGAAGTAGAGAGGGTTCAGGATAGGGGGAAGGAGCAGTTAGTTATGGGTAATTTTTTCTTTCAATTTCTAATAGAACACACTGTTACAAGGATTCACACTCCTCAGGTGTTCACACATACAGTGGTAGCATCTGTGTTAGAAGTTTTTCCGTTTTCTGTTTTTCAATTTCCAGCTCTTCAGTCTGTTCCCTGATCAAATCTTCCAAGTTGCTAGAATATTGCTCCAAAATCCGAAGCATGGAGTCAATGATATTGGTCTTTTTCCCTTTATTCAAAGTTTTAAACTGAAAGTAAAACAGAAAAAGGACCCAGGGGAATTTTTATTCTCCAAACTCAGAGATGATGGAGTAGGACCCCTTATCACAAATTCCTTCCTCTAAAATGCCAGGGCACAAGAAGTAAACTGAGGTATAAATGGAAAAAGTCACCACTCAACCTCACTGTTACCCTGTCCGATTCACAAGGTTCTTTTTCCCTGAATAGCTCTTCTCCCACACTTCTGGCTCTTTGAAGTCTGAGCAAAGGTGTTCTGGGAAGGATTCTCCAGCTCTCAGATGCTGTCACATGGTAGTAGCCACTTCAAAGGCAACAGGATCTTGTCTTGAGCCTAGGCCATTTGTGAGTGGGATGAGGAGAGAGAGGGCAGGGAGTACTGTTTTACCCTTCTGGTTAATCAACCTATTAAGTCATCCTGACTTCTAATGTCACTGTGTTACCAGTTTTTGGATAGTGGATGGTTCCTTGACCTCTTAAATATGACCCAAGATCTATATGGTAAGATCTACTCCCTATTTCTTACCATCTTGCCACGGAGGTCCAGGAATAATGATGTGCTTTAGCACCTGCCCTTCATGTCCATCAGAGTCATGTAGAAATTCAACTGGTCTTGGCCCATTCTATGCCCTGATGCCACAGGGTGGTGGCTGCATGCCACAGTTTTTTAATGTGCCCTCCTGAGCCCTGTCCATCTACAGAAACAGGGAGCTTGGCATAGCATTGGAATCACGAGGGGGTAATCCCTCCTTGCTGATGTGTTCAGCATGCACAAGGCTGTGTTTACAACAATAAAAGACTGGTGGTAGTTTTGCTGAGCAGACATCCAGAAATCTGTCCCAATGAACCTTCTTACGCAGCTGGGCCACACATGGTCTCCTTAGCACTCAATCCCCCAAGGCTGATACCAGGAGTTTCCTTCTGAGCCTGATCCACATCTACAGGTCTACCAAGGTCCTGCAGGTAATCTCAGTAGTCTGCTCAGATGTTTAAGGCTCCCCTATTGCCTGACCCTGGGAACCTCCCTCTCCTTCTCAGCCCATTTAAGTTTTATTAGCTGCAGGGAGTTGTCAGGCTATCCTGGTCTTTCAGACAATCTAAACTTCCACCAAAGCATTTCAGTGAAGGCAGCCCCCCCAATGTCCATTTGAAGGCTGTATGATGTACACTCCTTCCATCTATCACCAGCTTCTCTTCTGTCTTCTGAAATAACATCTCTAGTATCAACACAAGGACAAATGCTTTTTCTCTTGCCTCATGGTAGGTTCTCAGAAATGTGACCTTCATGGTCTTTTGCCTTTTCCATACTATTGAATACCTGTTTGAGTGTCCTCAAGAGACCCAGTCAGTCTAATGGAAACATTGTTAGCTGGGGACATGGATGACTTCATACACAGGGCCCCTAAGGCTTTCAATCCACCTCTTTCTTTTTTCCGCCTCAGATACCTGCCACTCAGAAAGCATCTCAGTGCTGTACTCCAGCCAGGCTCGAAAGCCTCTCCACCAGAGCTGACACAGCATTCACAGAGAGTACCCTCAGTTTCATTATCCTGTAGTTTCAACAAAGACCTAAGCTGCATGTTCCAATATAAGAACTGCACCCTAGGTACCCTTGGCAGAGCTTTCTCTGTCCTTTCCTCATTTCCCCCTTTCTATCCCCAACTCTAGGAAAAGAATCAGACTCTTTAGAAATTCAGTATCTTGGGGCGCCTGGGTGGCTCAGTGGGTTAAATCCGCTACCTTCAGCTCAGGTCATGATCCCAGGGTCCTGGGATCAAGCCCACATCCGGCTCTCCGCTTGGTGGGGAGTCTGCTTCCCCCTCTCTCTCTCTGCCTGCCTCTCTGCCCACTTGATCTCTCTCTCTGTCAAATAAATAATAAAATCTTAAAAAAAAAAGAAAGAAATTCAGTATCTTAAGGAGAAAGTTTACCGTTTTTGTGCAATGTATTGCCTCAAGTAGTTCCCTAGGAACTTAAAAAAATCTCCTGCTTTTGTACTCCCCATTTGCACATTTTTCTGTCATGAGCCTCCTTTCAAAGACCCTATGTCTTTCCTCGCTCCTCAAAACCACCTGGTGTTACTTCAGTGGTATACTCAGCAAAGTTTTCTGGCATCTCCATAGCAAACATAGCCCTACAAGAACTTGTGCCAAGCTGAAATCAAATATGATACCCATCTTTTAACAGTCTCAATGCCATTGCCTTGCAAGTGCCCAGTGGTTCAATTCTATTTCTGAAAGGTTAGTTAGGTCAGATTGTGAATGGTCCAGAATAGAGGTTCATATACAGAAGCACATTCAAATCAACCATTGCACACTTGGAGGATGTGCTAGGGGTGCTCCAGTATCAAAGGCCTCCAAGTAGCCACCCCAATGCTTCCTCCCCAAGAGGAGTGATTTTTTTTTTCTCTCTCTTGCAGGAGTTTCCTTTTACAATATGATGAAAACTCAAGGAGTTCGTTTGGGGTAGGCTGGCTTTAGGATGCCTTCTGGGCAGTGCTGAGATTCACAGAGTCCTTACCTGATTAAATATTTCATCAAAAGTTGGTTGCTGTTCTGAAGCTTCAGCCCAGCACTGCTTCATCAGCTGGAGACATTCTGGAGGGGCACACTCAGGAGGAACCATGGGTCTGTATACAGGAAGAGGCTTCTTAACTCTGTCTATGATTTCTGTCCAGAAGTAAGAAGAGAAAGTTTTATAAATCATAGAAAGAGTGCCAAGATTTGACAAAGATCATTGAGTTTTAGCAAAGAAAGAGGTTTGTCGGGAAAAAAAATCACAGGCCATCACCTTTGCTTTCTCCTTAAGTGGCTTGAATATAAATTGTCTCTGAGCAAAGGAAGTATTGGTCAATTTTAGGTTTTAGGTTTTAGGTTTTAAATGTGGCCTATCTGATGTCAATTTTAACACTATACCCCCAATGATCTGTCTCCCTTCACCCACCCCCAAATCATGTAAACTTTCCAGTCCCCACAGTAGACCCACCTAGCCCTCCCTGAAGGCCCAGACCCAGCCCAGATCCATGCTGTGAGTCCTGCCTGGCCCGTAGGAAAGAGGATTAAGAACTCCAATAAATAGTTCAAGACCTCATCTAGATCCTCCTAACTGCTTGTCCTTTAACTCCACTTTCAGTGGAACATGTACTATGTATCAGACTATGGACTAATGACTTCGAACACATTCTTCCATTAGATTCTCACTACAAACAGATGATGTAGGAATCCTTATTTTTATTTTACAGAAGGTTAAAATGACGAACAGAGAAAGTCACATGGCTAGCAAGTGACAGAATTTGAATTTGACTCCAGGCAGTCTCAATCTACTACATTGTCCCACTTCCAAATACCTCAGACTTCAACCAGGAGTTCCAAAACTCCCTATTCAAATCCAAAAGCCATTAGTGACTGAGAAGTCCAGATCAGGCAGACTAATAGAGAGAAAATTCCCAGGAAGTAGGAGAAAATAGTTAACCTTCAATGTCTTCAGCAATCCACACCGGACCTCAAACTGTTCTCTCTGCTTCCAGGCTAGCCTTCTGCAAGCATTCTTAAAACATGAATTTGGCCATGTCATTTTCTTGTTTAAAATCCTTTAATGACTTCTCATAACACACAGGGTAAAATCTATGCCCTATCACTTCAGCTCATTTCTTATCCCTAACCCCCTCCCCAAAGCCCCAACTCCAACAGGCACCAAACCTTGCTTGCCCCACCAGTGTGCCCTTCCCACTCCTACATTGGCTGTAACACTCCAACAGTGCTGCTTTATACCATACAGTAGGCATCCCCTTGCCTCCATGAAAGAATAGGAGGTTGTTGCCTCTGACTTCTCCGCAATTTGTGACATCACACTTCTGCTCCTTTAACCCAGGTTGGCCTATACTAGTAATGTTTTCTCCATTGCAGTACAGTTTTCTCCATTGCAGTGCCCACTGCAGTATAATAGATTCCACGTGAGCCAATCCCTTGGAATGTGACTGCCCTCATCCACTCTCTGGTAAATGGAGTCCTTATCTTTTTACCAGAGCACCATAGAGTTGAATGGGTTATCTCTCTACTAAGGCCCAGTATAATTCATGCCCTTGAGGAACTTATAGTCCAATGGAGGAGCTAAATAAGGACAAAGAATATAAGTGTTCTAGCAGACATTCCACACAGGTAAGCACACAGGGGACACATGGCCTGCACTGAAGAGGTCAGAGAAGGCTTTCCAGAGGAGGTGACAAAAACTGGATGAGGCAAAGTAGGGAGAAGGCAAGGGCATTCCAGGGACTCTGAACAGCTCTCTTGAAGGCACAGAGGTAAGACCATGGTACTTTTAGTCACGTGGTTTAGCTGGAGTGTAGGGAGTGACAGGAGATAAGCTCAGAGAGGTGGCTAGAGGCCAGACTGCAAAGAGCCTTGTATGTCCTGTGAGGAATCTGGGCTTCGTTTGATAAGTGATGGGAAACAGGAAGTTTTGAGTAGTGGAGTGATATGGGACTCCGAGTGAGGCAAAAGATAGCTAAGTATTTGGGTTTCTTTGTTTTTTTTTGTTTGTTTGTTTGCATTTTTTAATTTTTTTATTTTGAAATAAATTTAGACTTCCAGAAAAGTTATAGAACTAGTATAATAATTACCTACTCTTCATTCAGCTTCCTCTAATGTTATTAACTTATATAACCATAGTACAAAGGAAATTAATATTGGTACATTACTATTACTATTATATTACTATTCTGGTCCTTATTTTAATTTCATCAGTTTTATTCCCAGTATCTTTTTCTGTCCCACAATCCAATTCAGGATCCCATATTGCATTTAATTATCATGTCTCTGTCTCCTTCAACCCATGATGGCTCCTTATTCTGTCCCTGCCTTTCATGACTTTGACATTTTGATGAGAATTGGCTAATTATTTTGCAGAATGTCTCTCATTTGGGGTGTGTCTGATGTTTTCTCCTGGGTAGACTGTTATGCATTTTTTCCAAAAATTCCACAAAGGTGACATTGTGCCCTTTTCAGTGCATCATGTCAGGGGGTACATGATGTCAGTGAGCCTTGATCACTTGGATAAGGTGGTATCTGCAAGATCATCATCCTCTGAGGGTGCCTGGGTAGCTCAGTGGGTTAAGCCTCTGCCTTAGGCTCAGGTCATGATCCCAGGATCCTGGGATCAAGCCTTGCATTGGGCTCTCTGCTCAGCAGGGAGCCTGCTTCCCCGTCTTTCTCTGCCTGCCTCTCTGCCTACTTGTGATCTCTCTCAGTCAAATAAATAAATAAAATCTTAAAAAAAAAAGATCATCATTCTCTGATAGTAAACTTATTATTTTTCCACTTGTAACTACTAAGTATCTAGTGGGTTCATACACTCAGAATATGCAAATATCCTGTTTCCCCTCGAACTTTTGCCTACTGATTTTACCATTCCTTCATGGATTGTGCCCGCCAGGCAATCATTTTGATGAAAGATGAGGATGAAAGCCTTTGGCATGTCACAGGGAAAGTATGAAATGACCATGCCATCCAGGAGCATCATGAGGGGTACTGAAATACCTGGCAGGGACTGTCTCAAAGGAGAGGAGGTTGCTTAAAAAGAGGGGGGTCCAACATAGGTCCTGTAAGTACTTGGCTTACATCACAGTTTGGAAAGGACCAGCTTCCTGAGTTGGGAAACTTCTTCCAAATGCCTAAATCTGTTTGGCTCTAGTCCCACCTGCTCCTAACATGCTATTTGCAGGCTAGCAGGCAGTTAGCACAAACACATAACTGTGTTCGCTCTTCTGGCAAATTACAACAGCCTGGGTTAGGCTGATGATCTGGGTCATGGCAGGCTCTTGGTGGCCTTTTCTCACCTCCTGCTTACCTTTGACAGGCAGATCCATCATGCAGAATGGGGTGCCCCGGACCAGCACTTCTTTTTTTTTTTTTTTTTTTTAAAGATTTTATTTATTTATTTGTCAGAGAGAGAGAGGGAGAGAGAGCAAGCACAGGCAGACAGAATGGCAGGCAGAGGCAGAGGGAGAAGCAGGCTCCCTGATGAGCAAGGAGCCCGATGTGGGACTCGATCCCAGGACGCTGGGATCATGACCTGAGCCGAAGGCAGCTGCTTAACCAACTGAGCCACCCAGGCGTCCCCAGCACTTCTTGCATGATGATGGCAAAGCTATAGACATCTCCTGCAAAAGAACCTAACATGCTGCCCTTTGGGGTTCTCAACAGTTCAGGGCTGTCCATAGCAACTCTGAAATGAAAGCATTGTTTTAAGAATGCAGGGAGGATTAACTGACAGCCTTTGCAATGCCCTCAAGGGTTCCAATGGTGCTGTTTCATTGACTGCTTTATATTTTTATTAGACTGACTGGCATGCTAGTCCCCCCAACCCTGGGGTCCAAATCTATGAATCTAAGAAATTGTGCATAGAGAAAGCATACTACTCTCCCCACTCCAGAACCATGCAGACACAGCGGAGGTGTGGAGCAGGGCAGAAAAGCTTGAAGTAGAAAAACTATCTGGCACTTGCTTTCTTGTTCTCTTGAGCCTGCAAGTAGCAATTGGCAGGCTTCCAGAGAAAGGCAAGTACACAGCCACTCTGGTTGCCATGGATTTGCTGTTGAGATCTATATGTGTCTGGTAATTTGATTGTGCTGGGGCTTAGGGATTCACAAGTTGCTTTCTCCAGGTCTTCTTTAAGAGGATTTGAGGATCTCCAGGCCTCCTCTACACCTCCAAGAGCAAAAAGATGCAACAATTCCTTCAAGTCAGTTCTACAAATATTTATTGAGGGTATACTACGTACTGGATACTACGCTAGGTGCAGGAATGGTGCCAGAGTTGAATTAGACCTTGCCTCTGCCCTTACACGGTTCACAGAGTAATGGGCAGCATAGACATGTGATCCCCTAACTGCAATATGTGGCAGGTCTACTTAAGTTAATGTATAAAGAAATACACACTGGGACACCTGGTTGGCTCAGTCAGTTGAGCATCTGATTCTTGGTTTCAGCTCAGGTTGTAATCTCAGGGTCATGAGATAGAGCTTCCCACCCTCTACCACTGTCAGACTCCATGCTCCGCAAGAAGTCTGTTTGAGATTCTCTCCCTCTCCCTCTGCCCTTTTCCCCACTCATGTCTCTCTCTCTCTCTCTCTCTCTCTCCCCTTCTTTCTTTGAAATAAATAAATAAATAAATACATAAAACACATTTGTAATATAAATGCAGTAGTCAAAATTTTACATGGAATCATACAAAATTGCCATTTCTGTGGGTAAAAATGGTTGATATTGACAAATTCCATGAGGCTCAAACTAAAAAAAAAAAAGGAGAGAGAGAAAACTGAGCTGATCATATTAATCCAGGAAAGCTTCCTGAAAAAGTTAGATCTTAAAGGAGCTTTTTAAAAAAGTCAAGGATGCAGTTTCCTAGAGCTGAGAGGGTAAGGGCTTTGCAGGGAGAAAGAACAGTGCGTGCAAAAGAACAAGAAGTAGAAAGGAGCAAATTGCAGATGGGGGTGGTGGTAAGCAGATTAGCTTGGCTGAAGAGAAGGGCTCTGTTAAGGAATAATGAGAAATGAGAAATGGGGTTGATGAAGTGGGGGAGGGACGGTGCCTAGAAGAATGAGGGCAGAAGGTGAGAGGCCCTGAGAGCCAAATGAAGGCATTTGGAATGAATACAAAAGGCAGTAGGGGTTCGGGAGCTGGAGAGAGATTTGATGAAAGCTGTGTTCGGAAGATTAATCTGGCAACCTGCACAAGCTGGATTGAAGGAGAGAGGCTGAAGTCAGGGAGACCAGCTCGGAAGTCATTACAGTAGGAGCCAGAGGCGAGGTGAAAGGGGCCTGAATAGGGGTGGGGGTGGCAGCAGGAGAACAGGGATCAAGATATACAGGAAGGCTATAATGAAGAAGTTAGTGACAGGGCTGGGGATGGACTCAATGTGGTCCTTGGAGGGGAAAGTTTTGGAGTAAACAAGGGGTCGAAGTCCAGAAAGGAAGGCTGGAAAACAGTGTCTGCTGAGGGCCGGGGTGGTGGGAGGAAAGTGCTAGTTAACTTTTCATCTTGTTAACTTAGGTATTGGGAAGGGAGCCCAGGGGACAAGCTCCTGTGAAGCAGGAAGGAGGATGGAAAGGTCAGAGATTATTCTGGTGTGTTAGTGAAACCCAGGAAAGAAAATTCACCTTGGAAATTCCAAAGTTGAGCCAATCCTGATCAAAATGGTAGACCAGGGATTTCTAGCCTCACCCCCAATCATGTACACTCATCTTCTCTCTTTGTCCTCCAGGTATCCCCAGTCTTTGTCACACACCACCCCCCCCACACACTCTCCTGCCCCCATGGAAGTGTCTGATATACTCACTGGAGTGGTTTTGCCTTTTTGCCTTCTTGCCTAGTAGGACTTAATATTTGCAAAGAAGACCCAAAGAGACTGAAAGTTACTTTGGTCAAAGGAATGCATTTCTGATTGTGGGATTTCTGGAATACCTTCCTGATATGGTTTGGAGGGAGGGCAGGAGGGTTATCTCAGAGCAAGAAAAATGCAGCTGTTTCTTCTGCTATCCTCTCTCCTACACATTTAAAAGCATAAAAAGGGAAAAGAAGACAAAACTCTCCAGTAAAAAGCTGGGTGATTAAATACAATCATTACCAAACAGTATTTTCAAAGAGCACTTACATGTATGTTGTTAATGGCCAAAATGAGACTTTATTTGCACCATACTTATGTAATTGAAAGTGGACAGTAATGAATACACTTAGGACCCACCCCCATTTCCCCATCTCCACTCTCAAGTATGATCCACTACCTACCATTAGACTTGAACTCTCAGGGAAACTAGAAAAATTACCGCTGATGCCACTACCGACTCTGAGCCTTGCCGTGGTGATAAAAATCAACTGTGGAGAGCCAGTGTGGTGAAGTGCAAAAGAACAGAAAACTCAAAGTCAAGAGACAAAAGTTCAAAATCTTAGCTTGGTCACTAAGTGGCTCACCTTACAGAACTTCTGCTTCCCCATCTGTAAAATGGACATTGAGTCAGATGATTTGCAAGAGTCCCCCAATTATAAGATTTTATTAGCCCTGTCATCTAAGGAGGAAGCAGCAAGTTTCCTTATTTCATTTTAGTACATCCATCTGCCGAGTCACCAAACATTTATTCTGCCAGGTATGGTGAAAGGCACTGAGGGAGGCAAGCCTGTTTCTTGCCTTTGCAGAGCTTGTAAGTTGAGTTGGGAGAGAAGACAGCTAATTAAACATGTAATACCAACAAAGTATGGAATTACAACGAAGTTCAAAGCCCTAAGGATCATAAAGAGGGAAACTTTGCTGAGCATAGAGGGTCATGGAAAGTCTCTTATTGAATCAGTGGTATTAAGTTTAGCTCTGAAGAAGGAGTAGAATCTAGCCAGACTCAGAGGAGTTTATAACAGAGTGGGAAAGGAAGAGTGTCCCAAGGGATGGGCAAAGCACGTGTAAAGGTCTGAGAGTAAGAGAGAGCCTGGGGTAAGTAAACAACTGGCAGGAGTTCAGCACTGCTAGAGCCCAGAGACGGAGGGGGAGTGATTAAGCAGGAGAGGTCCACAAGGCCCAAACCACACAGGGCTCATAAGCCATGTAAGGAAATTTGAACTTTATCCTAAGAGCAATGGGAATCCATTCCGTGAATTTTGGCACAGCTCTAGCATGATCAGATTTGCAGTTGAGAAAATTCACTCTGGCTGCTGTGTGTGAAGAATGGATTGAGCATCCAGACTGCCATTGCAATTTGGAGAGTGAAATGACACAGTAAGAAGGAGAGACAGAGCAAGAGACAGGGTACACACACACACACACACACACACACACACACACACACACCCATCCTTTCCCCACTCTAAGACCAGAGTTTCTTAAGTTTGCAAGTTGCCAGCCTGTGAATTAAGTGGAACTCTGGGAAGATGGGCATTGTGTTTTAGCTTTTAGAGATGACTCATCTTGACAGGAAGCTAAGTACTTGCTGATCCGCAGCTACTGTCCCCGACATCCTAGCATTAATACCAGGCAACTACTCCAAACTTTCAAATTGGAATTAGCCAAACAATAACCATAAGACTAAGTTGGCAGCAAGCACAGGTCCACAGAAGTTGTAATTTAGCTGCATGTAGGGGCCAGTCTTCAAAAGACCTGAATCAAATTCCTGGAACTGCTGCTAAGTAGCTGTAGGACTGGGGCAAATCGTGAGCCTCACTTTATCTCATCTGTAAAATGAAAGCGTTGGACTAGATGCCTCCCTAACGTTCAATATTCGACAAGTTTTATAAAGCACAAAGATACCACCCCTGATAACTGGGCTCTCTTGTCTGCATCTACCCATATGTCTCTCTGTATCTTTCAGTGTTTGTTTCTCTTACATCAGCAGTTTTAAAACTAACACTGCCAAAGATTCTTTTAAAAAATATACGTTGTAATTTTCATCTGTCCCTCTGTCTCTTTTTTTGGGTTGCCTGTTTCTGTTTTTATGTCCCTCTCTCCTTCACCCTTGCAATGCTAGTTAAAAATTTTAATGCCCAAACTTCCTCTATGTATTTAATTCTACTCATTCTCTCTCCTTACTCTTTCTTTTTCTTACTTCCTCTTTTCCGTCAGCTCATTCCTTCCTATTTCTCACTCACCCATTCCCAATTCCTCATCGCAGATTTCTCCCACTTCTTTGATCTGTTATGACCTCTACAGGCATTGTTTGGTGCAGCCACTAGGGCGCTAAATGTAAGACAGAAAATACCAAATGCGCATTATGGGCATGCCTACTTATCTAAGTAGAAGGCCACAGTTCTGTCTGAAGCCATCCCAGGCAACCCATTGAGTATTTACTTGCTGGGATCCCCCTCCTCCTCCTCACTTCTTTCTCTTTGACAGAGACAGTAAGGGTAGGCTCTAGTGACATCCCATTCCAGAATGTGCTTTGTGGGGGTCCAGCTACCAAATTACCTTCCATTCAATCTGACAAGTATTTATTGAGCACCTACTGTGTGCCTATCGCTCAGCAAGTTCCTCCAGAGACTCCTGGGGTCTCAAACAATACAACCTAATCCTGCCACAGCGGGAACTCAACATTATTGCACTGGCTTTGTTCTGAAGGCTAGGCTGTGCTGAGATTACAGCCTGCAGACTTCATTCAACTCCTTTGGCTTGGAAATGAGGCTGAATTTTCAACAAAAGTGGGGAGTTGAATCAGCCCGAGGCTTTAATTCAGTGCATACTCTCATTTGAATTTTGGAGTTACCTTGAGTGCGTCAGAAGAGTATAATAATACATTGCTTACCTTCCGCAGAAGGTTCCTCTTGGGAGACTTAGAGTTTCCAAGATATCATTAAAGCCATAATCTGTCACTTTTAGTACAAAACACCCATCTACCACACAGTTCTGAGATTTCAACCTCCCATGAGCAAACTCTCCGTGGTGTAAGTACTTAATGCCCTGCAGATACAAACAGGATTTATTTAGTAACTTCTTTAACTATTTTGTGCTTTTAAGGCCAATTTCTGAGCTTGTTAATGGCATGAGCTATTATGGGCCAGAATTCAGCCCCTTTTTTTCTTATATGCAGGCAAAGCAAAACTGTAACAACAAGAAATATTTCCGGGTCCTTTCCAGCTCTAAGATTTCATGCTTTTGATGAAGAATCATATCTTGTATGTCTAGAGAATGGTATGCTATTGGGAGATTTATTAACATTTCAAACATAGGATGGATCCATACATATGTAATTTCCAAGAACTGGAAGATTCTGATTTTATCCCCAAAAGATCTAGTTCAACTTTCATTCACTGTTGGAAGAAATGGAAATTGGTACATCCTTTTTGGTGGACAGTTTGGCAGTAGATATCAAAATTGAAAGCATTCATACCCTGTGACCTAGGGATTGTGCTTCTTCTCTAAAGAAATGCTTGTACATCTGCACAAGGAGACATACACAAGAATGCTCAAGGCAACTATGCTTTACAATATTATATAATTAAAATACAATAAGTATCTGTCAAGAAGGGACTGTCCAAATTATGTTGCATATGAACTATGCAATATTCTGCAGCAGTTAAAAATAATAAAATAGATCTGTATGTACTAACAGGGAGTCATGGCTAAGCCATAAAGTAAGTGAAAAATGAAAAGGTGCAAAACTACGTAACAATATGTATTTTAAAAAACAAAATCTATAATGTATGTAAATATACATGAAATTAATTGCTGTGTTAATCACCAAATTGTTAGCAATGGTTAACTGTGGGGGAGGATGTGAAAGAGGGTTGAGTAAATATTAATATTTTTCCTGTATATATTTATATTATTTGATTTTTAAATTTAATTTAATACATTACTTTTGTAATTAAAAATAGGTAATTAAAAAGAGGAAAGCTGAATACTGCTGATCTCTGCAGCTTGCTTTATATAACATTCAAATGTGATCTACAGGGACTCTTTTCAGATGGGTTTACTCATTCACATATAAATACAATTCATGTTCTAGTGCAATCATCTCAGAACTGTTTACGCTGAGCCCTTTTAAGTATCTGGCTCTATTTTGTGGCCTGACACCCCTCTGTATTTGTATGCTTTACATCTTGTGCCCTCAGAAATTCTGAAGTTGCCAGTACTCCCAAGCCTAATCTGCAGAGGGTGAGATTTCCCCTGGGGATTGTCTAATGCTTGGGTTTCATTCATCATGGTCCTGAGAGGACTGTCATTTAGAGCCTTCTCCCTTAAGTCATGGGACCTTGTTGATAGGATGAGTGGAAAGAGTACTAGAATTGAAATCAGGAGATTTGGATTCTATTATCAGCTCTGCCACTTAATAGTTGGCTAATAAATATTTATTGAGCACTTACTATGTATGGCAGACACTATAAAACAAAATGTACCTCATTTAGCTTCTCTGAGCCTCTGTAAAAGGAGGCTAATCGTACTTATTTTATGGAGAATTGGAATGAGATAATGTCTATAAAGCTACCTTGAAAAGGGTTAGTATAAAGGTTAAGACTGTGGTCAATATGCAAGAAGCTCAGCAAGTCATTGATTAACCAGTTCAACCCCATAAAGATGCACATGGACACAATTTGCATATTATTCCCAGGAGTTCATGGACTCCACCAAAGCCCATCCATAGACCCATCCATGAACCCCTCTGACTCTCAGTAGTCCTTGCCTCAGAGAATGGAAGTTCTTCCTGATAGAGCCTATGGTCTTCTGGCTTTCTGGTCATGCTGAGTTCCATAGTTATACCTATGATGTGCAAAGACTTATCCCTTAGTTCTAGACTGAACCACCTTTTAGAAGGTGAAAACCAGGAGATGAGGCTAAGCAGCGTCAAAAGATCTGGGAATGAACACTTTTCCACATCCAGAAAGCAGAGAAATGGAATGGAAGGAAAGGTTGCTTAAGGGGAAGAGTGCTCAATGGCAACAGAAAGTAAGGACAAATCTGGCCCTCAAACTGGGAGAAAAGAGTGGGGCAAGTAAGTCCCTTCTATATCAGTACCTTATAACAGATATGGGCAAAGGGACTATGAGAAGGGCTAGGGGGCAGACCCTAGGAAGGAACTTGGAAAAATGAGATCATCACAATGATCCAAGGAAAATTAAATACCCCAAAACTTTTAAATTCTAAGCTACAGGGAAAATCCAAGATTTCCTCAGTCTTTTTATTAACCTTGAAAAGATCCAGCAGAAGTGATGATTTAAATAGCCAGTCAAGTTTTACATCCTGATTTGTCAATATGTCTTCTAGGCTCCTTCTGGAACAGAATTCTGTCACAATGGCAAATATCCCTGAATCATAGAAGAAGCCCAATAAAGGGTTAATATTTTCATGATGCAGGTCCTTCATCTGGAAATAGAGGGAGAGAGGAAAGTCACAACTGTCCTATCACAATTGGGGACCAAAGTTTAGGGCACATACCCTTCTCTTCATCCTTCCTATGACTGCTTACTGTGAAAAGCTGAATTTTGGTCCCCATGATCTCCAATCTCTAATGTTAGTCCTGTGATTATTATGTTTTATGGCAAAAGGGAGATAATTCAGATAGGCTTAATCTGATTATATGAGCTCTTCAAATCAGAAGAGGAGGGAGGAGAAGAAGTCAGAGAGATTCAAAGTGTAAGGACTCAACACTCCATTGTTGGCTTTGAAGCTGGAGGAAGGAGGCTAGAAGCCAAGGACTGTGGGCAGCCTCTAGTAGCTGGAAACAGCTCTCAGATAACAGCCAGCAAGGAAATGAGGTCTTCAGTCCTACAGCTGTACAAAACTAAATTCTGCTGATAACCTGACTGACCCTAGAAGTGACTTCCCCCCAGAGACTCCAAATAAGAGCCCAGAGTGACTGACACCTTGACTTTATCCTTATGTGACACTAAGTGGAACACCCAGCTGATCCCACTTAGACTTCTGATCTACAGAACAGTGAGATAATAAATGGGTGTTGTTTTAAGCCTATGTTTGTGCTACTTTGGTATGGCGATAAAAGTTCTACTCACCAATTCCACTGTGTGGGGGAAGGGGTTCCCCACACAAGCAAGCAATTCTCCTACACCAGCTGGATGTCCTATAATTCAACTCAATTCTAACACTATCTACCTGGAGATAGCATCAGATTCCACAGGTTAAGGGTTCAGTCCTACAAGACTGCTCCCCCATACACACTTCAGACACCAGTCACAAGTCCAAGTCTCCTGGGCTTTTACAAACCAGTTATAGACTGAAGGTTCTAATGACCCTCACCTTGGGTTTGATTAATTTGCTAGAGTGGCTCACAAAATTCATAGAAATATTTACTTACTAGATTACCAGTTTATTATAAAAGGATATAATTCAGGAACAGTTAGATGGAAGAGATGCGTAGGACAAGATATGGGGGAAAGGTGTGGAGCTTCCATGACCTCTCTAAACGTGTGCCACTCTCCCCAAATCTCTATGTGTTCACCAGCCTAGAAGCTCTCCAAACTCTCTCCTTTGAAGTTTTTATGAAGGCCTCATTACATAGAGGTGATTGATTAAATCATTGGTCAGCCACGGAGTCAACCTTCAGTCCCTCTCCCCTCCCCAGTAGTCAGGGGTGTGGGACTGAAAGCGCCAAATCTTCTTTTTTTTTTTTAAAGATTTTATTTATTTATTTGACAGAGATCACAAGTAGGCAGAGAGGCAGGCAGAGAGAGAGGTGGAGGCAGGCTCCCTGAGGAGCAGAGAGCCCGATGC